TAGAGCCGAAATGAATGTAATGGTCATGCAGAAAACAACACAAAAAATTAATGAAGAGTTGGTTCTTTGAAAGAAGTAAAGTTTATAAACCCCTAGCCAACCGTTTCAAAAAAATGAAAGAAAAAATTTAACATTCATGCAGTAAGCAATGAAAAGGATGAAATCACTACAGATCCTAGAGGAATTCAGAAGATCATCAACACCTACTTTGAAAATCTTTACTTTCATAGTATAGACAACAGAGAAGAAATGGACAGATTCTTAGATACATATGAATGACCAAAGCTGAATCAAGAAGATATAAAAATCTTAAATGATGCAATATCAGTCAATGAAATTGAAAACATAAAAAACTTACCAACAAAGAAAAGGCCAGGTGCTGAAGGATTCAAGCTGAATACTACAAGAAATTTAGAGAAGATTTAATGTCAATTCTTTTGAAATGCTATTGAAAGTCTTTTTTTTTGTATTTTAGACAGGATATACAGGTGTACAGGGTCTTACTGTGGAGATTGGACTTGTAATAATCCTCCTGTTTATAGCCTCACAAGTGCTGGCATTACAGGTACGCACCACCATGCCCAGCCATAATTGCATCTGAGCATGCCCTGGGGATGGGGCCCAGCACGGCAGGCTAGGGGCTGGAAACTTTATTTATATATTTACTTATATCTACTTCATGTTTATTTCAGATAATTTTTATTGTTATATTCATTTAAGTTTGTAAATAATTTTTTGCAGTGTGCAATCTATTATTAATCTCTTGTTATGCATTCATTTCAGAAATATTTTTCACTTTTCCTTTCTTTTTATAATTTTATTGAGAAACTTTAATGAAATTGAAAGTGGAACAACTCTCCCTAATTCTTTCTGGAGGCATGTATCATACTGATACCAAACCAGAGAAAGACCCAACTAAAAAGGAGAATTACAGGTCAATCTCTCTAATGAACATAGAGAAACAAATTCTCAATAAAATAATAGCCAACAGAGTGCATCAAATTATCAAGATTATAATGCATCATGACTAAGGTCTATTCATTCCAGGAATGCAGGAAGGGTTTAATATATGCAAATCATTAAGTGTAAGACATTATATTAACAGAACCAAAGACAAAAATCACATGATCATCTCAACAGATGCAGAAAAAGCTTTTTTTTAAATTAAT